ATATTAGTGGTTTTCATAATTAAAAACATATCACAAACATCAAATTCATTCCATTACATCTAAAATCCAAGATCAAACCAAGATTTTTTTTTATCACTTATTGGACCACAAATTAATTTATAGGTGGCAACTCCGAAGATTTTGTTGTGAACTTTCGATATGGGATAAGTGAATTACTTTTACTAACGGATAATCCATTTTTAATTACCAATGAAATATCCGTAGTGAAAGATCCAAATGTTAAACGATTATATGAAGCACGAAATATCCGTTGGTAAAGAGATATCATCGTTACCAATGAAAAATCCGTTGATGATTATCGTAGTTAAAAGTGAATATCCGTTTACGTCACCTACAGACATTCCGTAGGTGAAAGATCCAAATATTAAATGATTACATGAGGCACGAAATATCCGTTGGTAAAGAAATATCATCGTTATCAACAGAAAATCCGTTGCTGATTATCGTAGCTGAAAGTGAATAACTTTTACCAACGGAAAATCCGTTTCTAATTACCAATGGATGCAATCCGTTGGTAATTTGCCGTGGATTCAAAGCTATTTTTAATAGTGGAAGTTTCTTCTTACAACCTTAAAGGTCTTCTATATCTTGGATCAAGACTTAGTGCCATTACCAAAACCAACCCAACATGACATCGATGAAATAAGGATGAAAAGGAATAAGTAGAGACACCTCGACAAATGAGATATGTGAATTGTTGGAAACCCAATGCAAGGCCGAGGAGGAAGGTACCAAAAGTTTTTTATTTCTATGTATTTTGATTTCAAGTATTTGGATAACTTGCCTTTGTTAGGACAAGTCCATGGGTTGCAAATTATTGTCAATAAAATAAAGCCATGAAGACAGATCTTCCTTAAACTTACCAAGTTGGTGCAGTCAAATTAATATTGTCATCTTTATGGAAATGTTAAATGAAGAAAATCCTTACAATTCTAATGATTATTTTCTGAAAGAAATTAAAAAACATCTGTAAATTGAGGAAGAGTCAAGGGCATGAGATGGAAAAGAGCATTCTCATGAGGGCATTTCCAAATATCATGCCATGGATCAACCAAACAAATAAAATTAAGATTCCAAGAAGATGAAATCCACAAACCCCAACAAAGATAACAAGAATAAGAAGAAATATAAAATTTCTTGTTATGTGCAATGTGTGTGGAAAATTTGGATATTATGCTTGGAATTGTAGACATTGTAAACAAATAATGCAAGAAGGTAAAGTGAACTCCATTGACACATCATTGCTACCATGAGCACTATAAATTAGGTCAAAGAAAAGGTTCAAGGATGGTGGTATGACACTTGTGCCACCATACATGTGTGCTATGAGAGATCTCATTTCAATATTTATCAAGAAGTAGATGACATTCAAATGAGGAATGAAGTTCGATCAAAGGTTATTAGCAAAGAAAGCGTATACTTACAATTTACATCCGACAAGAAGATCACATTAATAAAAGTATTACATGTATCGGATATGAATAGAAATCTTGCAAATGATGACTTGTTGGGAAAATCAAGAATAAAGTCGATATATGAGTCGAGCAAACTTATACTTTCCTGAAATTGTGTATTTGTTGGAAAAGGCTATCCTAATGATGGAATGGTCAAATTTTGTACTATTAACGATAATATCAATAAAACAATAAATTTAAATTATGTTGTTGAGTTAATTTCTTTATGGTATGATAGACTATGATATGCTAGCATTTCTACTTTAAAAAAGAAATATTTAAATCAGAATGATTTCATGCGAAAACATAGAATATAACAAATGTGATCGTGTACTAAGTCTAAAATGATTAAGAAACATTTTCATAGTGTTGAAAGGAAATCTAATTTCCTTGACTTTATTCATTTCTATATATGTAAATTAAATGGAATGATAATTAGATGAGGTTATAGATAACATTCATAGATAATCATTCTAGATTTTGCTATATCTACTTGATAAAACATAAAGGTAAAGCCTTTTAACATATTTAAAATATACAAAGTCAAAGCTGAAAATCAATTAGATAGAAGGATTAAAATTCACAGAAGCGATAGGGGAGATGAATATTTCTCCAGCAAATTAATATTTTTTGTGAACAATATGGCATAATATGAATGTAGTGCACCTAAAACACCGAGCAAAATGATTTGGCTAAGAGAAAGAATAGGTTACTAGTTAAAATTATAAGTGCTATTTATAAATGCTAAGTTGCCATCTAACTTATGGAGTGAAACTTTATTAAGTGCAGGTCACATGATTAACAAGATTCCTTCTAAAAGATTTGAGGTTTCTCCATATGAATTGTGGAAAGGGAGAAAAACGAATATTTGTTATTTCAAAGTGTGTGGCTGTCTTGCTTATAGTAAAAACATGAATCCTAAAAGAATTAGGTTGAGTCCTAGAGGGTTCAAATATGCTTTTGTAGGATATGCCCAAAATAATATGGCATATCATTTATTAAACTTGGAAACCAATGTTAGTATTGAATCTAGTGAAGCGGCGTTATTTGAGAATATGTTATCTTCAGATAATAATTCTCTAAGATAATCTCAAATGGAGATTCCTAGCTCTACAAAATCACAAGTAAAAATGCCTTCAGAGGATGTAGAAATAAGTGAACTTCGCAGAAGCAAAAGACCTCAAAAGGGAAAAGTGCTAGGACCAGATGAATTAGGTTTTCAACTTATTTCTTTTTATTTAGTTGAGGGAAATGAGAAAAATGTCACAGGAACTATTCCTTATGTTCTTCAAGTGAAAACTGATCCGAAAACTTATCAAGAAGCAATGTCATCTAGAGATAGCATCTTTTGAAAGGATGGTGTAAATGATGAAATTGAGTCAACAATGTCAAGCAACACTTGAAAATTAGTTGATTTACCACTTGGATCAAAACCTATACCAGCAAATGGGTATTTTGGAGGAAGTACAATGCAGACGATACTCTTAATACTTTTAAATCTAGGTTAGTGGCTAAATAAAATTGACAAAAAGAAGGAAAAGATTACTTTGACACATATGCACCAGTCGTACGAATAATATCAATCAGGATTATATCCGCTTTAGCTTCAATCTATGATTTGCATAAACATCAAATGCATATTAGAATGACGTTCTTAAATGGGAATCTCAATGAGGAAGTCTATATGGAACAACCAAAATGATTTTTTCTATCGAATATGAAGATAAAGTATGCAAGCCAATAAAATCCTAATTTGTGGATTAAAACAAGCACCAAAGAAATGGAACAAAAAGTTTAACTTAGCAATAATGTCTTAGGTTTAGATATCTAATAGATTAGATACAAATAATATTTAGATGATTAACGTGAAGGATGATGGGCCCCCATTTATCACCCTAATTAATTTGAAGAAATATAGTGGATTCAATCCCTATTTTAGCTAGTGATGGTTAAAGAAAAAATTCATCAAAAACGTCATATATGATTAAATTGAAGAATCATTTGGTTCTTCATTAAATATAAGATATAATTCAATTTAATTTAGAAGAATACGATTAAAGCTCATATAATCATATATCATTCAATTAGTTAAACTAATCAATGTCTTTATGCTATTAGTTATATGTTTTCCTTCAGAGATAAACATGAATTCAAAAAGATATATATTTCGAAAATGTGCTACTTCAAAAGCATATTATCTTTCTTTAAGAGCAATATGTCGATATTTTTCAAAAATATTGAAATTATAATTCATGCTCTTCAAGAGCGATAAATTAATATTCTTCTTGAATATTAATAATATAGAAAATTAACTTTCTTTAAAATTACAATCCAATACTGAATTGTTTAATTTGAGTTTCTTCAAGAACACAATAAAATATACATTATTTAGGATATGTGTTATTTTGAGAGCACGTTATATTTTATTATTGCTCTTCAAAAACAACAAATTAATAAATAGTGTAACAACGAATCACTATTTATTGTTCAGAAACAATGAATATTGTAACAAGCAAAAATGCAATTAGCTATGTTAAATATTTTAACATATACAAATGTAATATTAACAACTTGTTAAGAACTTATAGACGTAAGTTCATTTATATTAATGTTATGCATTCAAAGAACTACACACACACAAATGAATGTGTCCCTTCTGTACCAAGTGGCAAGTGGAAATTTGACATCCGACAACATTTTTATTCATTCTCTTATTACTAAGAGCCTTTACCCTAGAAATGCGTGAAAAAGCCTCGTCATTCTAATTAAATAAGAAAAGATCCATGCTGGCATGCTCTCTTTCCTCTCGCATCGCTTTGTGCCTATAAATTCGCGGATCACATATAACTAGCTACAAAAATAAATTAATACTTAGAAAACATTTTCCAATAAAAACTATATATTTCAAATTTAACATTTAATCTTTTATAAACAAAATAAATGAATGAATGAATTATTAACGTGTGTGTATAAAATTATTAAAATTGATATCTATTATACTTGTGATTATCGTCATCGTTAGTAGTACAATTATGAAACTAAAACATAGACTAAACAGTAGAAAAGAAATAATCAATATAAGGTAAAATTCAGTATTTTAATTATAGATCGTTAAGAAACTAACAGCAATTTGTTACTTCTCAAAATCTGATGTAAAATTATACATATAGTTCTTACAAAACTCTTAAAAAAAACTTTTGATCGTTTGTTTCAGTAAACTATAATATGCCAAAAATGCAGTTAACTAGGTTAAATATTTTAACATATACAAATGTTATATTAACCACTTGTAAAGCAAATGTCAAGCATTCTCAAAGAATTTAAAATAATAAATAAATAAATAAAATGACACAAATGAATGTGTCCCATCAAGACCAAGTGCAAGTGGAAATTAGACGTCCAAAATCCTCTTATTCATTACAATCTTTTTATCACTATGAAATGCCCATCATTAAAGGGAAAAAAAGAATAAAAGGAAATTAATGTAATTTTGGCCTTGAATTAAACTGAAATGATCCCTTAGCTTTACGATTCAACTTTGTTCTGGCTAATCACTCTTTCCTTCTCCTTCACTTCACTCCCTTGAGATTTGTCGTATTCTTCATCCTAAACAAATGATCCAGATCTAGACTTCAGCCATCAATTCAAGAAATATCTTTATTTTTAAGATAATCAAAGACAAATTTGTCACAAAACATTTTTTCTAAACCTAGGCTAAAGAATGGGAAAGAAAACCTTGAATACGCTGGCGTAAAGGATCTCAAAAATTGTATTTATTTTTGAATTTTTAATTTTTAATTATAAAAAAATGTTTGACATAGTTTAGTAATTTTATTGCAATATAAGAACTAAGTCTGAAATTATGTAAATTGTTTCCTAAAGCCAAACCTACAAAAAGTTCATAATAATATTCAGTTCTTAATTCAAGTTTCCAAATATAATGATTAAATTTTTTTTTCCTAAAGTTTTCTCAATGTCAAATTAAAAAAATTTAGGCAAAATTTTTTGAATTGTCATACCAATTTACGAGTAGAGCCCGGGAATTAAAATAAGATTTTTAGCACACACTGATAAAATGTGATGAAATGTGTGGTTGAAAAATTATGGTTGCAATGTATGATTGGACATAAAATACTTAGTTAAAATGAATTGTTTATAATTTAGATTTTAATCCGGCACTATGAATCTGATAAGGAGTGTTTAGAGACTGGAGGACGGTGATTGAAGAAAGAAAGAGAACGTACCCGGGACATTTCCATGAACAATTTTTTCCTCATCCTCCTTGGAAATAATCCGGTTCCCTCCATAGATTCCTCCAAATCCTTCTTCATTAGACCTCATTGCATATCCTTCACCAAATGAGGCAATCGTTTCCCTAATTTCGAAACCTTGTTGAACTCAAACACTGGTACATATTTATATACACAACAAGAAATTTCACTTGCAAGGATTGAAACTTTTTATCTTAAAAAATTCCTCGACAACCCTAGCAAAGTTTTTCGTCCTCAAAAGTGAAATATCTATCTATCTAACTATACCTCCAAGATTAACAAAAGCCCATCATTTTATGACACGAAAACAAAAAGAAAACAAGAGTTGAAAACCAACCCTCTTTGATTTTTTGATTCCTGAGACTGGTCCATTTTCTCAGTGCTCTGAGGTTGATTAGGCCCTAACATGACTTGTGCAAATCTGACTCCACAAACTCTCCTGCTCATGTTATTTGGCAATTTTGAGGAGAAAACTGTTAGGAATGTGACTCAAATTTGGAGATTAAAGAAACATAATTTGACTAGAGTGGGAAATGAGATCAAATACTTAATTGTAACCTAATTTCTAACCTTTTGTGACTCTACATAAGGTTTGGCCATTTAGTATAAATATTAGGCTCCTTAGTTAGTTTAGGTTGTGTAACAAATAGAAGTCAATTGCTAAATTGCTTTGTATTCTATATATTGTTGAATTAATAAACATCGTCCTTTGCCATTAATCCATTGTATTTTTCTTTACTTCTAAATCCTATTTTTCAATGTGTGATCTAGTATACTTCAATATTGTCGTATAATCTAGTTCTTTAAAATTCGATTTGGGATCAAAGTGTGTTATTGGAGCTTCTGCGCCCCAACAAGTTGTATCAAAGCTAGGTTGTTGATTTTCGGTGGATTGGTTGAGATGTTTTTTCCTAGATGGCCGAGTTGAAGTATGATATTCCACAATTAGATCGCAATACAAAGTTCTTGTTGTGGCAAGTAAAGATGAGGGCTATTATGGCGCAGTTGGATTTGGAAGATGCGTTGCTGAGTTTTGACAGGATTCCAGCTGGATGGACAATGGAGGAGAAACAATGGAATGATCGGAAGGCTACGTCATTGATTCATCTTTATCTATCCAACAACATTCTCCAAGATGTTTTGAAGGAGAGAACGGTGGCTGCTTTGTGGTTGAGGTTGGAGCAGTTGTATATGACTAAGAGTCTTACAAGTAAATTGGCTCTTAAGCAAAAACTGTATTCACATCTCATGGCAAAAAGAGAGTCGTTGGAAGACCATGTTGCCATGTTCAAAGAAATAGTTGCAGACCTGGAGATGTTAGAGGTTGAGTATGTTGAAGAGGATCTTGCCTTGATCCTCTTATGTTCATTGGTGGGTCTTATGTGTCGGTTTATGATACTATCTTTTATAGTCGAGATACTTTCACTATAGAAGATGTCAATGATGCTTTGCACACAAAGGAAAAGATGAAGCATTTGGTTGGAACTATATCAAGGGATGGAAAAGCTCTTGTATCTCAAGGTGGTTGACGAAGAGGCAGATTGAGAGTCAAATTTAGCAATGTGATTTGTTACTACTACAAAAGAAAGGGACATATTCGGAAGGATTGCGATATGTTGCAGGCTAAAGGTGATTTAGTTGCAAATCGTGGGTGCAACCTTTGAATTCTGACGAAACCAATGTAGCTGAGAATTATTCAGATGGGGAAAAAGTGATGCTGACTGTGGTATCTGATGTGGAGTCTAGGCCTGACGAGGAGTGGATTCTTGATTCAGCATGTTCACAACATATGTGTTTCGATAGAAATTTATTTCGGATATATGAGGTTGTTTAGCAAGGTGGAGTTGTAATGGGAAACAACCAATCTTACCGTATTGCTGGGATCTGTCGAGTCAGATTGAGACTACGGGATGGAACATTTAGAACAATTGATCAGGTTCGACATGTTCCTGACCTGAAAAGGAATCTCATTTCGCTAAGTACGCTGGATTCAAAAGGGTATAAATTCTCTGGATGAGGTGAAGTCTTGAAGGTCCGAAAGGAAGTTTGAGTTGCATTGGAGAGATGGAGGAGATCCCAGTTGTAGATTTTACAGGGAGTACAAAATCGATTAGGAAACATTTGGACAAGTTTAATACCGTGGTGAAATTTCAGTTTAGCACAGTACCTCTTGGATTGGGCTCTAAGTCGGTTCAGAACACTGCTAGGGAGAGCGTTGGTGATCCCACTTTGCCACTAATTTCAGCAGGTACACTATGTAGGATAGGACTCATCGAGCGTAAGTACTGTGGTGTCAGTAATGTCTGGGATGCTTCTGGGAATGTTGAAGGCGATAATTCCAGCAAATGGCCTTCTGATCAAGCATCTAGTTTGGTTCTTGCTACAAGGTGTGCTTCGGACTGTGTGATCAATATTAATTCCTTGGTAGAATTGGGAACCCGGATATTGGGTTTGGGCATCGATTGTGGATACGGGACAGAGGAGGAGTGTTTAGTTTATATAGAGTAGTTACCGTGTTGAGGAGATTCGGTCAGTTCATTTCGTTACAAATGGATTTAAAATCTAGGAGTTTCGTTCGTTGCATCGAAATTTGAGTCAAGATGGAGATTGTTAGGAATGTGACTCAAATTAAGAATTAAAGAAGCATAATTTGACTAGAGTTGGAACGGAGATCAAATTCCTAATTGTAACCTAATTTCTTACCTTTTGGGACTCTACTTAGGGCTTGGTCGTGTAGTATAAATATTAGCCTCCTTTGTTAGTTTAGGTAGTGTAACAGATAGAAGCCAATCGCTAAATTACTTTGTATTCTCTATAGTGTTGAATTAATAAACATCGTCCTTTGCCTTTAATCCTTTGTATTTTTCTTTACTTCTAAACCTTGTTTTTCGGTGTTGATCTAGTATACTTTAATATTGTCATATAATATAGTTCTTTAAAATTCGATTTGGAATCAACATGTGTTATTGGAGTTTCTGCACCCCAAAAAAAAGCTGTCGTTGTGAGTAGTATCCTAATTGATCAAACTCCGTTGAACATATTTTTTCTTTCTTTCTTATCATATATATATATACATAGAAAAAGAGATATGGATATATTGAGTCAGTAGGGATTTCTGGATGAACAGAAATTTCCCTAGTCATGCTGTGACCCAAAAGTATAGGTTCCGGCAGCTTCATAGTGTTCACTTGGTTTGAAAACTTTTGGTGAAGCCGTTAAAGAAGATCTAATTTAAGATTAGTCATAATTTCTACAGGGCTTTATGTAGGAAAAAATATATAAATAGGGTCTTCGATGTTTATCAACAATTGACTGATAAGTATGTTTTTATATATTTATTTTATGCTATATGTTTTTATGTATTTATTTTATGTTATTAAACTTGGATATATTTGTGTAAATTTCTACTTAATTTAATGTAATTTTGTTAATTGTTGGTAGAATTCGAACTTTGATACAATTGGTGTGAAGATGGATGATTTTAAGCTAATTTATAGTTGGTTCATAGAAATTAAATAGTTGGTTTGGATGGGAGTGAGAAGTATTAATAGAGCAATCAAATGGTTTTGGGAGTGAAATTGAACTTTTGAATAGTTTTGGGACTAAATTGCACACTTTTGAAATTTTTAAGTAGCTATTTCATACTATTATGTAGTTTTGGAGACCACTAGAAGATTTTTAAGGTTTTGTATCAAAATTGAAGTTTGGAACAAAAAGAAAAAAAAGGACCAAACCCGTACGAAAAACTGTATTTTGGAACTAAATAAAGATAAATTAATAGTTGTGGGATATTGGTTTAATCGCAGCCGTGGCTGAATTATGGTTTGCTGGGTACCCATGTTTAAGCAATCTAGGCTATGGTTTTGCAAATCGTGAAAGGCCACGTTCTCACTCATTGTGCTTATTTTTTTGTTCGTTCAGCTTTCCTTTATTTATTATGACTCCTTTTCGAAACACAAATACACACTGTAGATATAATATTGTTCATACTTAGCTTCTATTTGGCTTTATTTTAGTTTTAGTGTGTGTTTGAGCCACATTATCTTGAAAAAAATGTATTCTGGAATAGTAGATTAATGGAGAATATGTAGCTAAAAAATGAGAAAAAGTTTTAAATTTGCGTGTAATATTATTTTAATAAAGAATACGTGGTTAAAATGATGTCAAATCACTATTTAAAAATGTATTTCATTGAAAATTGCGACTGAAATAGGGCCTTAATATATTCTTTTTATTCAACACTTTTCGATAAAATAATATTACACATAAATCTAATTTTTTAATTTTTAACCACACATTCAGCAGACCAAAAGCGACGGAACTTGAGTGTGGTTCTTTGTAAAAAAAATTTCTATTCCAAAATATATTTTTCCCAAAACCTCATAAAAATATGAGCCCAAACATGGGCTTAATCTCTTCATATAGAATTATCTCGGTTGCGGAAGCACTCTTCAAGAATCTTCAAATCGATGTTTTTCGGGCTCAATTCAACATACCTTTCTCTACCAACAACCAATCCAACCGACTCTGATCCACAACCAGTGTAATTCACCTTGATTATTATTCAATCTTACCCACAAAAGACAAGAAACAGTGATGATTTATGGCCACAAAGGCAAGGAGAAAATGCCACAAAGGTAGGCTATGAAGGAACCACCAATTACACAAAGTAAATAAGCGTTTTGGACACTTCTAAGGGCCATTTTTCACACACTTCAAGGCATAGTCGGGATTCTCCTTTTGTCACACACAAAACCACACAAATCATACTAGGAAGTGGCTAGGTTTTATTCCTTATAAGTATGATAGGATTAGGCTTTTTAATTGGACCAAAAAAAAGGTAAACGAGCCAAGATTCAAGTCATCCAAAAGGGAATACAATTGGACGGGTGGTGCTCATAGATTTGGTTGTTGGACTTATTTCATTCATCGGTTTATGCCTATAAAATATATTAAACCACGTTAATATTATAGCCAGGGATTTATTGGGTATCAAAAACCTAACAAATCTCCACCTTGATGCCCAATAAATCTACAAGAAATCAAAACACACAGTTATCATTTGCATAATCAAGGTAGTCAATAAAATTGGATCGCAAACCTTACCTCATGTTTCCAACTTGAAACACATATCATACCTGTTCCATGTACTTACCTGGGTTAAGGTCAAGAATAGCCAAATAGAAGCAAATATTCAACAGTAAACAATCAAGAGCAAATACACATGTGATGATGATATATTATAAGATGTTACACATAGATCTTTTCAAAAACACGTTCACATTGAACCACAGATTAACACCAAGTTAATCAAACACACGGTCAACTAGATATGCAACAAATGCATAAATGACTCCACGAAAAGATTTCAACACACTTATCCTATCTCATTCCATGTTGCTCACTCCTTGAGAATACATATCTCCTCTCATCGCCCACCATGCTCA